AGATGGGCTACCTGTTTTTTTTTTTTTTTTTTTTTTAAGTGTATATTTTTTTAATGTGATTGTTGGTACATTTTACCGGTTTTTACCATACTTTCAAAACAAAAATTAAAATAGGAAAAATATGCAATATGAAAATAATTGAAGACAAAATGTGTTTTACTGAGAAAAAACAAGATTTTGGTTTTAAAAAGCCTTTTTCCAAAAGGTACATTTGGAAAAAGGGGGGTCGTCTTATAATCAGGGTCGTCTTATATTCGGGCCAATACGGTATTTTAATTCATGTCTCTGGCAACTGTCGTAGGAGGCAACAGTCAATATGTGAAAAGTGGTTATCTGACATGGCTGCTTGTATCTACTCGATTACTTGGTGCGTTTACAAGTTGAATGTATTGAACTTGCGTTCGCAGTAAAGAATTTGAGAGTATGGAATGCGTTGATTGAATAAGCAGCCATACTCAAAAATGTGAAATCTCTGATTATGTGAACACCTTAATGGAACACCTTTGTACCTTCTTTACACCTAAAGTATGCATATTAAAACCTTAGAGTAGTAATATGTATTCTTATGGTACTAAAGGTAAAATTTTTGCAATTTTTTTCTGAGAGTGCAACTGTAACCACAAACAGTTTGGACATTTTAGGGTGAATATTGTCAGGCATAACATCAGATTTGGTTTGTTTCAAGATTGCTTTACTTGATAATTGTGCTGGCTGAATCTCTGTTCAAATTCTATTCCACCCAAGGCAGCGTTTTATTTTGAAGAAGAAAACTGGTATAGTTGCATAAAAAGGCATGTTTCTGCTGAATAGAATGCCAATAGGTGCTTTTTTCCACAGGTTTTCCATAAATGTAACTGTATTTTTTGTGTTAGAGGTCATGTGTGAACAGAACCAATTGTCCATAAGAGGAAAAACGTTTGAAAAACATGATTATCTACATTGTAGAAAGAAATGTCATGAAATTGGAGAGATTTTGAAACAAAAGAGCTGCTTTCTATCCAAACAGAAGGATAAATTAGCAGACAGATTACTGGAGCTGTTCAAGATTTTATTAAATTTGCCAAAATACCAAGCCTTCTTCAGGAACAATGTATATACAACACCGAAAGCACATGACATCATAGAGTTTAAGGGCATTTTCTTGCTTATGTTGCTACACAAGAGCAGAGCGGGCTTTATTAAACCGGATTACAGGTGGTGGGTGAATATACTGTATACAGGTTTTTATGTTGAAAATTTGTGGGCGTAAAATGGCCACAACTGTTTAGCGAATTTGCCATGGAATGTTTACAGATGGGTACAAAAGGAAATTCATGTTTTCTGAGATGAATCCATTTCCAGTCTGGGATTTAACTGTGCTGTTAAATAGGGCACTGAAACTATCAGTTATTAATAATGCTTATTAATGTCACCATGCCTGTGAAGTTCTGCTTGGGTTTCTGTTTGTTTGCTTTCGTTTCAAGCAGCTTAATAGTCCTCTGAAGTCAGTGTTTTTTTTTTTTTTTTATTCCAGTGATTCCAGTCTTTCTTTCTATTGCATTATACAGCACAGCCTTCCGAACCATAAAACAGCTTTAAAACTTTGCATGTTCCTTGTGGGAAAAGCAATTCAAAGAATCAATCAAGCAAATCATTGTGCGATTTTTCATAAAGCTTCTTAATTATGGTTTTGCATCAAAGAGGCTGCCGTTGTTTTTTATTTATAATTTTTTTTTCTTGAAAAAACGGGGTGTTACGTTTATGATTGTTTTGTAGCTAACAAACCATAACCAGATGAGAATGTCTTGAACATGTTAAGTTTTTGCATGACTGTGTGTCATACCTTTCAAATGTTAGGGTATCTAATGCATTTATTCTGCTTCATGGCATGAGAAAAAAAAACCTGCTCAAAGCACCTTGATATGAATGACATTTTGCACAGAAGTGACACTTACGAAGTGACTGGCCACATAATTTCCATCTTCTGCCAAATGATTTCTGTCATTTATTGAGTATTTATGGGTTAAGTTTGTACTTATGTCTGTACCCTCATCTATCACTGGTCAGCTAAACAGACAGTCCCACCCTGAATTCACGCTATTGGTTGAGACAATGTTGTTGCGTCAGGCTTGTCGAGATGCTCAAACAAACACAGTTTGAAAGCACTGCAGTGTTTACACTTTTCTGGGGAATCAACCTACAAATCACTTACTTAAAGTCTCTACATATTAAGCTATGTAGAAGCTAAGTATTTCAACATCTAAAAAATTACATACTTCAATTTTAACATCCATATTACACAGTTCCACTACGGCTCAGTGAGTGTCTTGGACCATTCTTTAAAAAAAATAAAAAATAAAAAACAGGACTTAAATTATGTACAGGTGTAGATCACGGTGGAATGATGGATGGAGGGCAGCCAGACACAATTAACACTGAACAGTACGGTGTGCAGGTCATGGTCACGTGATGCTAAGAATATTAATTATTTATATTTTCTCAGGACAGTGAGCAGAAGTGTTCTAACGGTTTTGAATGTGCTGATGAGGTAAGACATATTTCACCAGGACAATTATCAAACATAATTATAAAAGTCTTTCCTACCTTAAAACTTCATATTTTTCTACCCAGCTAACAATAACCATTCCCAGAACGTTCTGGAAAGGTTCTCTTAAAGCTATGAACAAATGTTCAATATGAACAGATGTTTCAATAACATCAATATAATGTTCATTCAGAGATATCTAGTCTTTACTAATGTTCTCAAAAAACACAATGTTATTTATTAATTTTTATTTATACATCATTCATGGAATGTTTTAATAATTTTTTTTAATGATAGGTCTACTAAAACAAAAAGATCGTAAAACGTCAAAAAAGTTTTTTTTTGAGTATTCAGAGAACATTCAGAAATAAAGTTTCGGGAAATAACTTAATGGGAACATTAGCAAAATGTTCTTAGAGCATATTTTCGCTGGATATGTTATGTATTCTGGGCAAATTATTAAATGCACAGTTTTTAAAGATGGAAATTATTAGTTTTACCGCAGTATCATAATTAGATCACTATGGGTCTTCTATCACTATAATTTTATTTATTTTTTAACAACTGTGTAATGATGCAGCACTAATTTCTAACATGAAAAACTGGTAAATGAAAAAAATATATATTCCAAATTTTTCTCAATTTTTTTCTTTCTCTAATTCAAATTTTCTTGGCAATTTGATTGGCAATTATTTCACAGGTGTTTCCAGTGTTCACAATATCACTTTCCATCTTTTAGACTAACTTTAATGACATCATGCACCTAGAAGTGACTTCAGGAAAAACAACAGCAGAAACATGAAGTCAAAAATAGTAATTGTATAGATAATCATGTTAAAATGAACAAAGTTTTAAGTCTGAATTTTACAAAAGCACTTTTATGGAAGTCTCCAATAAGCTTTTATAGAAATACCACAAGCATGCTTATCTTTAAACATCAGTGAGTAGTGAGTAACAGGAATGACCTGTAATCTTAATACTTGAACTGAAAAAAGCTTTTAATATTTCCTCAGAATGTCCTGAACCCAATGGAGGGATCCATTGACTCGGTGGGCTCTCACCAGACTGACAACAACAAAGCCAGACATTCATCTGTGACTTCAATCAGTGTTGCTGCCGCCACATTGACACTGGCCTTTGCTCAGGAAAAACAACAGCAGAAACATGAAGTCAAAAATAGTAATTGTATAGATAATCATGTTAAAATGAACAAAGTTTTAAGTCTGAATTTTACAAAAGCACTTTTATGGAAGTCTCCAATAAGCTTTTATAGAAATACCACAAGCATGCTTATCTTTAAACATCAGTGAGTAGTGAGTAACAGGAATGACCTGTAATCTTAATACTTGAACTGAAAAAAGCTTTTAATATTTCCTCAGAATGTCCTGAACCCAATGGAGGGATCCATTGACTCGGTGGGCTCTCACCAGACTGACAACAACAAAGCCAGACATTCATCTGTGACTTCAATCAGTGTTGCTGCCGCCACACTGACACTGGCCTTTGCACTGGTCAATCAGGTTCTGTAAACACAGCCTGACTCTACAACACCTGGAAGCATCTGATGAATTCTTCTGACCTCAATCAAAGAACTTCTCTAAAGTGACATTGATCTCTCTCTCTCTCTCTCTCTCTCTCTCTCTCTCTGTGTGTATCACACGGGAACTGAAAAAAGCTTTTAATATTTCCTCAGAATGTGCTGAACCCAATGGAGGGATCCATTGACTCGGTGGGCTCTCACCAGACTGACAACAACAAAGCCAGACATTCATCTGTGACTTCAATCAGTGTTGCTGCCGCCACATTGACACTGGCCTTTGCACTGGTCAATCAGGTTCTGTAAACACAGCCTGACTCTACAACACCTGGAAGCATCTGATGAATTCTTCTGACCTCAATCAAAGAACTTCTCTAAAGTGACATTGATCTCTCTCTCTCTCTCTCTCTCTCTCTCTCTCTCTCTCTCTCAGTGTGTGTGTATGTGTGTATCACACCCTATCTTTGAAAACCAGTCAAAACAAAAGACAACAAATCCTTCAAAGGAGCTTCTAAAAGACTCGAAACACCACTGCCCCACTGAAGAGAAAGCGAGGAGCCACCGGTGGCTGACACTGAACATGGAGAACTTCTACAAACGACTTCATATGTCAAAAGGAAAGTAACCCACCGTGTTTTTCAATATCATGATGGATGGTTGATTGAGAACAGGCTATAAAATGCAATCACGTGACCCACTGATGAACTCTCTCTGTATATTTACCTAGAGATATGCATCCATCATAAAAAAAACTCCCGCGCACATCAGTACAGTAGTGCTCACTGCCTTGATCATTACCAATAATTCCATGTAAATGTTTCTTTTGTTCAAAGAAAAAAAAAATGGATGAAATCTCGATTTGTTCCCTTTTTAATTCTCGAATTTGTTTCCGGCGAACTACAAGGGTTCATCCATAACACGTTTGAATCCTCCAGTCTGGCGAGATTTGGATCATATCGCCCTGTGTACAATGTGTATAATGATGTTTGTAAGTATATGAGATTCTTTTTTTCCTGTTTTAACTCTAAAGAACCATTAGCATGTGCTGGAAAGCCGGGCGACGTGGGGAACTAGAACAAAAGCGGAGTGAAACGTATCACCATGGAGAGCCGTCATTGCCAGTGATGTTCGTCTTAGGCTGTTATTATGTGTAATCATTTCTTTCTTGACAAAAGGCTTGGGTTATATTCAAAGAAAAATGCTCTGGGGAGAGCGGAACAAAAGATCCATTTGCGGAAAGGGTCGATTGTTGGTGTATTTTATAGTGTGCAATCTATCGTGTGGCCTTACTTTTTTGTCTTTGCTCTGTTCCTCTCTCTTATGTAATGGTTTCAGACAGTACCACTTGCAGAGTACCGCCAAGACAGACTGAGATGATTTCAGACGTTCAAAAATAGCAGCTCCTATGACTCAAAAAGGTCTTCGTTCATTTGTGATGCTTTAAAATGAGGCAAGACATAGGCTCAAGAATGTGTCAGAAATATTTGTTTAAAACTGAATAAAAACATCCTAGTAATGTCTCGAAGAGTCATGACTTTAATAGCATCTATTGCAGAATTCAATTAGCTCTGAGTGATTATCTTGGAATAAGTTTGGAAACACTTTGTGTAACCTAAAATGACATATCAACACAAAGTCATAAAGTCAACACGAAATCAAAATTGACCCTGTTTTACATTATTCTAATGACAAAATGTTGTCATAGTCTTTATCAGAAACAGCCAACTTGATCTTCACCTAAAATGTTCTGCTGATGTTTTCAGCGGCCTTGGTTCTGGTGGTATTTTTCCATTCATTTATCACAAAGGGACTTTTTAAAATATTTGTTAAGAAGTTATAAGCCATGAAACAAAGCAACCAGCTATGAGGTGATTCACAACATTACAAACTGTGATTTGAACCAAAGGTGTTGACAGAGGTAACAGCTTTAATGAGGGAAAGAGCTATAATCCCATGAAATATTGAACAACATAATTGACATAAAACAATGGATACATATAAAACTGTTGATTGAAATATGTTAATTAAATATATAAAACATATTTTACGTTTATTACAAAAGTTGCATATATATATATATAAATCAAGGTTCTTCAACCGGGGGTCCGCCAATTAATGTTTGATCACAAGTAATAAAAAAAAATAAAAAATTAAAATGGTTACAAAATATCAAACTCAATTTTAAATATAGGCACCCTGAAACGAAAGCAAAAGCACCCTCAGTTGATGATGTAATGATATATTATTGGTAAAACAGATTTAGCAAGCGTTCCATTGTGTTATTCAGTTTGACCTCTGTTCCTATTTACATTATTTTTGCAGCAGTGAGAAATGTAGCCAATCACAAATGTCTGTTGCTCTCTTGACCGCAAAGGCCAATCAGAGATGTTTAAAGCGGTCATATGACGCTGCTAAAAAGAACATTATGTTGTGTATTTGGTGTAATGCAATGTGTTTATGCAGTAAAAGGTTAAAAAAAAACATTATTTTCCACATAATGTACATTATTGTTTCTCCTCTATGCCCCGCCTTTCTGAAATGCATCGACTTTTACAAAGCTCATCGGTCTGAAAAGCGATGTGTGCTCTGATTGGCCAGCTATCCAGTGCGTTGTGATTGGCTGAATACCTCAAGTGTGTGACGAAAATGTTACGCCCCTTACCAGACTGTGATGCCGTGTCCCGGTGCCATGAGACAACCCCAATAAAACCCATTACAAACAAGGCATTTGTTGCATCCGGTGGGGACATAATTACTAATGACTTATACTGTCTTTTTACGCCTTGCGTTGCATATCGCGCCGCGTAAACATAAAACCATGTCTGCATTTGTGATCGGAGAAACGACAAACAACAAGTGCTACTCTCCACTGCTCAAAACTCACGTTTGAATCATCAGTGGCAAATTCTTTAAATATAAAAAAAACTTACTAACAGGCTGTGAGTCAGAAGCGCCAAACTCTCCTTGCAAAGTTGGAACTGCCCCACTTTATAGAAACAGCCTTTGTGCACAGCATTGTAGGCTACTTTGCAGGTTCAGGAAACAGTCCTCCATAAAATGCGTTGCACACATTTGAATATTTGGGTTTAACTGTTTTGGAACAGTGTTGTAAACACAACTTACCTACTGATTTCTAGTTGTTTCCTCTTTTGGAGGGCCAAACAAAGTAGTTTCGCTTTCACAACGAAACACACAGCGTCACACATGGCGGGCTTGAGTGAGCGGTGGCAGGTGGGCTAGAGTGAGGAACGGCCGGAGGTCTTTAGTGAGCGGCGGCCGGAGGGCTTGAGTGAGGAATGGCCGGAGGGCTTGAGTGAGCGGCGGCCGGCGGGCTTGAGTGAGGAACGGCCGGAGGGCTAGAGTGAGCAATGGCCGGAGGGCTTGAGTGAGCGGCGGCCGGAGGGCTAGAGTGAGGAATGGCCGGAGGGCTTGAGTGAGCGGTGGCCGGAGGGCTTGAGTGAGGAACGGCCGGCGGACTTGAAAACGGCGCGGCAGGTGGATTCGTCGAAGGAGTGGCCGGCGGGCTTGCGGCAACCACATGTGATGACCCCGTGCTGGACTCCGCTTCGTCCACGGTGAAAGCCGAAGTTGATGTATTTCCTCAGTGACCAGCACGGATCAGCTCTAGGCATGATGAAGCGGATATCGTCCTCTTTTGGAAGGCCAAACAAAGTAGTTTCGCTTTCACAACGAAACACACAGTGTCTTCACGACATGGCGGCGGCGGCAACAACAATACTACAGCGAGAATAAAAGTTACGCCTTCTTTCTTTGCGTCAACATTTGGGTGGTGTTATGCAAATCTTCCCATACTGTGATGTAGACATGTGGGGGGGGTGTTTAAACGAGGCGCTTTAGGAGGGCGTGGACAAGTCTTAACTTTTATAAAGAATATCTCTTTAGATTTGAGACTTTAGTCTTTGCAAAAAGCACGAACAGCTTTTAACACTCCAAAGAGAAAGGAAAATTTTAAATTGCATCATATGACCCCTTTAAGTTAGAATCCACTCACTGCTCACAATGCCGGAGATTTTGTTCAGTGCTGAGTTATGCTCGCTCTCACCAATCCTCTGTCATTCACAAACAATGACACAATGTAAGTAAGAGATTCATTATGCAGTGTAGACATTGATTTTTTTTTTTTTTTTAGTGGAATGTTGTGAGATCCATAACTGAGATGAGTGACAGCTTTTTAGTGATTGTAATGTGAGCGGTCTTTCACACTTTCGAGGCTATACAGATATGATCCATTGAATAAAAGTATTATTTTTCATGCTGCTAAGAGGGCTGACGGCCAATTACATGCTGCATAGTTTTGGAAGTGACATCTACATATAAATGTGATTCCATCTGAAGCTGCAGTTGACATAGTGATACAAGCATGGGACAAAAACATGGCATGTCAAAATAGATACGTGCAATGTAAATGCAGACTAATAGAATACTCGAAAAATACTCGCATCAATATATTTTTTTAACTCGATTCCAATTATTTGTAAAAGTAATGCCTTGTAAATAATCTTAAATGTTTCACTGTACATTGTTATTTCTGTTATGGTGGAGCTGTTCCTTGCATATTACATCTGCACTTCATTAGAAAACCCTCACTAATTTCAGATACTCTGTGATTTTATTCGTAATTGTCCATCTCACAGTAAAATTAAAATGTGAATTTTTAATAAACTTGTAGCAAATGTCCACATGACTAGTAAATTACAATTTATGACTCAGCAAATCCATTAAAATAATTTGCAAACAACTAATGAATTATTTTGATCTCAACATGTTATTTGTTAAGATGCATAAATCTCAATTTTAAAAATACAAAGTAATATACAGGCAGTGATGCATGTGCAACAACAATAATGTGCATAGTTTTGATCTACTCTCTTAACATAACATACATGTACCATAATATAATTTATTCTTAATCATAATATGATTAGTTCCTAATAATATCAAAGGCTATATGCTTAATATATAGCTCTGCTTGACACATTTTGTATTGGGGGTTCCTGCTCTGTCTCTATCGCCCAAGATGTCCTTGCCCTGAAAAACATTGAAGCATTGATTTAAATAGTTTGAGAGCATCAGTGAAATGTAATCTATTACTCAGAGTGAGTAAGTGCTAAAGTGTTTTTGAAATAATTTGCTTGTCTGATATTGTAATATAGTTTTCACCACAAATTCTGCAGTTGATAACGATTACTTAAAAAATAGGTTGAAATAATGCAGGCTGATGGCTTCAACAAAAGCATATACCGTCGATCAACACCTTGTAGGTCTGTCTTTTTGGTTCTTTAAAA